ACTACATGCTTTGCTGTCTGTGCATAAACCAAATAACGAATGCACAGACTTTAAAAGACGTGATGTGCATTTCTAATCATGATGCATATCCATTATTTACATAATGATTTTTGGACTGAAGAACCAACAGTGAAGTGTGTACTTTACACAATCATTCATGTGTCATAGGAACTAAAATTTGAACCATGTTATTGAGGACCAGTGTTATTTAACTAAACAGTGGAAACTAAAACCTGTGTTGAAGCCATGCAAAAAGAGGACTGCCTAGTCATCTAGGTGACACAGGAGTGTCTTTGAGAGCAAATAAAAAGTTTTTGGAAGTATGGTTTCATCACAGGGAGCTCAAAGGAATGAGTCTGGAAATAGTTTGATTGCTTTGTCCATTGAGGACCTTAGTGACAAAATCATGAGGGAAAGATCTGATCGTAACAGGTTTCAGAGAAAACCATTGAGAAATTTGATGATATGAATATCAGCTATTCTTAAGAAATTTGGCAATAGAGTGAAAGAGAGTTAAGATACCAGAATTAGAGGAAGGCATTAACATTTTGAGGTAAGAACTTCCATTTACTATGAAAGCACCTAAATGTGCAAGTATGATTCCAAGAGATTTAGTCAACACCTTCTAAAATTCAGATACATCTTATCTACAATAGTTCCCATTTATGTAAATTCCTATGAGTTTCATAACTTTAATCCACAGAAAGAAAATATGACCTGTCTGACATTTTTCCTCACCATCACCACGGGTCTCCTTTCTAAGAACTCATGGTCTCTTATTTTGCCTACTCTAAGGTCAGCATTGGCTGACAGAGATCATTGTTATAATTAAGTTGATGCTTGAACATGACAATAGTGCTCTGTCTGTCTTGAGATCTTTCTAGGTGAGACCTTAAGGCAACTTTCTGGCATCTGGCAACCTGGAAAGCAAGAAATCAATGGAAATAAACAAGATGGTTTCAATGAGAACAAAATAGACACCATCAAACCAAAAGTAATAATAGACGAAAAACATATTTCCCTGGGACTGCTGTTCAATTCTCAGTCTCATTATCTCAGATTAGTGAGGATTTTATTAAGACGAACACTCAAGGGCTTTAGAATTTAAATATCAACACTACCACTTAGTGACTATATAATTCTGGACAAGTTATTGAATATCACTCATCCATAAAGTTGTATACTAAAATCTACCTCATGGGGTTGAGGTGAGGATTAGGTGAAATTATGTAAGAAAAGCCTTGATTATCTTTTTGTGTTAGCTTGGAAGACAACCAAAAAATGTCACTTCCTTTCCAATCAATAAGAATGACAAGCTAGAGATTCGAGCGCAGTTCTCAGTGTAAGAATTGGGATGATAAATCTGCCTAAGAATATAACCAGAACATGAACAGTTATAATGCCACTGAAGTTGAAATACCTTGCACAATATCGGGTTGTTTCAACAAAATTCCATCACAATAGATTCCACAACAAAACTGATAAAATCATCTTCAGTTCAGTTCTTCCTTGCCTTTAGATGAGTGTTCAATCAAGTTCATTTCTGCTCATGGGGAGTCAAAGAGTTTCCTCATCCAGCTGCTCTCTACTGACAACAGAACAGAGCCACCCACTGGCATAGTCATTCCTCAAATCAGCTCAGAGATCCTCCAGACCTATGACCTTATTCCGCCCTCACCATAACCAGGTGGTACATTTGTTCACTCATCATCTGTCTCCTCACTGCCCATGTCCTCAAAGATAAGTTCATGCAAACAGGGATGTTGTGGTGCTCCCAGCTGTACCCCAGGGTCCACCACAGTGTACATGGGCAAAATAAATGAAGGAATGAGCAACTCTATAAAGTACACAGAACTTTGCAAAGGAACTGAATAGACATTTCTCCAAAGAACACATTCAGATGGCCAATAGGTACATGAAAAGGTGCTCACCATCACTAATCATCAGGGAAATGCAAAATTAAAACCACAATGAGATATCACCTCACATCTGTTAGGATGGCTCTTATCAAAAAACCCAAAAGATAACAAATGTTGGCAAGAAAAGAGAACCCTAGTACACTGTTGGTGGGAATGTCAATTGGTGCAGCCACTATGGAAAACAGTATGGAGGATCCTCAAAAAACTAAAAGTGGAATTATCATATGATCCAGCAATCCCACTTCTAGGTATATATTCAAAGGAACTGAAATTAGGATCTCAAAAAGATATGTGCACTCCCATGTTTATTGCAGTATCATTCATAATAGCCAAGACATGGAAGCAACCTAAACGTCCATCAGCAGACAAATGGATGAAGAAAAAGTGGTATGTACGCACAAAGGAATATTATTTAGCTTTAAAACAGGTGGAAATCCTGCCAATTGTGACAACATGAATGAACTTGGAAGACATTATGCTAAGTGAAATAAGCCAGATACAGAAGGACAAATACTACATGACACCACTTATATGAGGAATCTAAAATAGTAAACTCATAGAAGCAGAGAGAAGAATGGTGGCCAGCAGAGGTTGGGGGGAGGAAGAAACAGGGAGATATTAGTTAAAGGGTATAAAATTTCAGTTATGCGAGATGAATAATTCCAAGTGATCTACCGCACAGGGCCAATAGTTAATAATAGTTATACTGTATTGTATGCTTAAAAATTTGCTAAGATATGTTGAGTGTTCTTACTGCAAAATAATAATAAAGAAGGTGGAAGGAAATTTTTGGATATGATGGATACTTTTATGTCAGAGATTGTGATGATGGTTTCAAGAATGTGTTCTTATCTCCAAACTCATCAAGTTGAATACATTAACTATGTACAGTTTTTTGCCTATCACGCCAAAAATAAAAGAGCACAGAACTTGTATAATGTCCTCCCCATGGGAGAAGTCAGGAAAATAAAGCAAGAGGGTCAATGAATTGCCTCAAGCCTAGACCCAAACCACCTGACTCCCACCCTAGCCTCTTCCAGAGCCCTAGACTCTTCTACTGGCCAGGACTCGAGCAGTGTGCATGTGCCAGCATTTCCTTGCAAGGCCACCAGGTGGAATGGACACGTGCTGCTCTGTGGATGCTGCCTTTAGGCTGAAGACAATACCATGGCTACTTTAGAGAGCTTGTGCTGCCCCTGGTGATTACGCCCACCAAGAATGTGATGGAAGTTATGGGGCTGGGAGCGTTTCCTTCACTGAGAAGAAGGGCAAAGGCTCAGGATCAGGCATGGAGAGACTGAATTTCCAAAGGCATAACGGGGGACCTTCTACCCCACCCTCCCACCATGAAGTATTGCAATTGGCCCTGTCAGCTTGGTATTTGAACAAAATGGGTCAGGCTGGATAAATCACAGCAATTTGAAATGTTGCTTTGTTCTCCTATCGCGTTTGAATTTCTTCCATGTTACAATAGATCTTCTCTCCTTGCCCAAGCTAAATTGAATCCCTCTTTTTCTATTGTTGGAGGAGCTCAGGGTAGGGTTTCTGGTGCACTAATATTTGGACCTTTCCCAAAAGTCTTCTCTCTCCACCCCTCTCAGCAGTCTCCCCCTTTCTCTTGCCAATCACAAGAAAAGACTTTTGAGTTGTTACCAGTTTGCAAAACATCTGCTTTTACTATTTGGCATAGTGTGGGGTTGGGGTAACAGGGGATTTGATAGGCCTCACAGGACTTATTATATTTGATACATTGTGTGTCAGACTTGGGACCCCTCCCCTTGCTCGTTCCCATGCTCTGTGTTCAACCCTGTGGCGGGTTTGTTCTCAGCTTTCTTTCTCCAAGGTCCAGAGTTCTAGGGTTAACTGTCCTTTTTCTGCCAGTGCCTCCTGGTCCCTCCTTCTTGCACTCTCTGCCTCTTAATAAATATGAGAAGCTGCCGGCCTCTCTGTTCTTGGTTATCTGCTGGGGCTTCAGGGGAAGAAGTCGTCCATAAAAGACTCCTGATTTACAGACCATCTCCTCACGCTCAGTAGGGGCCAACATTCCTCAGTGCTTTGTCCACATGTGTGCTTGGCTGGCCAAACATCCATCCAGACAGCAGGGATGGTGGCCCTGGTATCCAGCAAAATCGGTGGCCCTGTGGCCTGGAATGCCCCCTCCTTCTCCTCTGCCCATTTGTGTCTTTCCCGAATTACCCTACCCAACTCAACGCTCCCTTCTTTCAGGAGGCCTTTGCTGACCCTCACCCCTGCCCACCACTCCCTCCCACCACAATGAGTCACTCTGCACATCGCTCATTTGTCTCCTGCCTGGCTGCCTCCCATATCACTGGCTGATCTTTTCCATGATACAGAGAGAGGGCCAGCCAGGGCTTTGGAATTAGTTTTACCTGGTGATGAATCTCCATTGTACCTTGTATTCATCTGCTAAGGCTGCCATAACAAAATACCACAGGCTGGGTAGCTTAAACAACAGAAACTTATTTCCTTACAGTTCTGGAGGCTGGAACTCCAGGATCAAGTTGTCTGTGGGGTTGGTTTCTCCTGAGGCCTCTCTTCTTGGCTTGTAGGTGGCTGTCTTCTCCCTATGTCTTCACATGGTCTTCCTCTTTTTGTGTCTGTGTGTAAGTTTCCTCTTCTTATAAGGACAGGAGTCATATTGCATTAGAGTCCATCCTAATGACTTCATTCAACCTGAATTACCTCTTTAAGACCCAATCTCCAAATACAGTCACAGTTCTGAGGTACTGGGGGTTACATCTTCGTTATATAAATTTTGGCCTATAATGCAATATATACAACTCAGCCTATAATATACCTTTAGTTAGACAGGGTTTGTAACCTGAAATTAATGTTACTTCATCTATAACAAGAGTTAATGATCCTTCCTAGGATTAAAAGGATTAAATAAAATCCTGTGTGTCAAGAACCTGGCAAATAAATCTCAAAAGACCAGTTGCTTTCCCACTGTCCCCACCCCACATTGACCTCCCTCCCCTTGAGGGCAGGGGCTGCGCTTCCTCCTGTCACTCAATCAACAGATATTTGTTTCCTGCATTTTAAAGCAGATAGATTGAGTACCTTATTGACATCCAGGTGCCTCTCTCTGTTCTGGTTAACTGTGATCTCTCCAACTGAAACAGAATAAACAAGGCATCACAATGTAAGGAAGGTGAGAAGCATAGTGCCCATGGGTGTGAGCTCTGGAGTGGGCCTTTGAGCGAGTTACTAAAGCTCCCTCTGCCTGCACCTCCCTCTGCAAAGGAAGACTAAGTAGGGCACACTAGCGGGACTGTTGCATGGATTAAGTGAGGAAGTCCTGTACAGCGGCCAGCACTCAGTGAGTCTTCTGTGAAAATAGTTGCTTCCATTTTTACTGTCAGGACATGTTTAGTGTTGTCCACAAGTATCTTAGCTGGCCAGCATGCCCTATTCAATGTGCAAATGTGTTTTAAAAGTTAATCAATCCAAATAAGGAACTTGGTTAATGTTTTGTCCTGTACACAGTGTGTGCATGGACCCAGCCTGCCTTGGGTGAAATTGGCAACTGTCCACCTGTTGTCACGTAAAGCCCCAGTATGTTGCTTCTTCCACAGTCAAATGTAGACAAATAGCCCTACCTTCAACCACTCCATCGAGTTGGAGTCTTCAAAGCCTTTGTGAAATTTCAGTAGCTGGCCTAGGACAGGAGGTAATCTGTCTGCCGTTAGCTTAGCCCTGGCTAAGAGTAGAGCCTGAGTGACAGCTCAGAATAGGTAGGTTTTACCGTGCAGAAAGTTGACGTGCCCCTGCAGGTTAAGAAGCCGCCAAGACCACGCTCACTTTTGACACCAATTGTAAGTTCTGGGGTCTCCAAGACTACCCTTGGTTTCAGTAATTTGTGAGCGTGAGAAACACTCACAGAACTCACTGAAAGCTGTTGTACTCACAGTTACAGCTTATTACAGTGAAAGAATGCAGATTAAAATCAGCCAGGGGACGAGTACGTGAGGCAGAGCCCAGGAGAGTTCCAATGTGGGGTTTCCAGTTGTCCTCTCCCAGTGGAGCCATGGACAGCCATAATGTCTCCTGATGATGATGTGTGACAATACATACTGAATATTACCAATCAGGGAAGCTCACCTGAACCTTGATAGCCAGAGTTTTTATTGGAGCTTGATCATATGGATATAGTTGACTATGTGACCAACCACATGCTGACTTTAGTCTCCAGCCCCTCCAGAAGGCAAGCTGATACCACCTAACCCAAAGCCCCATCATAAATTACATTATGTTAGAGGACCCAGCGTGGCCCAAAACCCCCAGGTAAACAAAGACAGGACAAGCAGGACATTCCAAGGGCTTAGAGACCACCTCCCAGGAGCTGAGGGCAAGGGACGGGTCTCCTTTGGGTAAGGTTAATTCTTCAATACACAGGCCTCCTCCAGACTTTGACCAAGGCGCTCTCACAGCAAAATGATCATATTTGTCTGAGTATCTACATTTAGTATAGCATTTATAGCACAGATACAGCAATAGTATCAGTATGAATATACCTAACACTTGGAGGAGTCAGCGTGAGGTAGCGATAGATCTAAAGAAACAACGAATCCATTCCAAAAGCCTTTGCAAATATTTTCATATTTCTATACTGATTTGATTACCTGTTGCTCTACTACAGTTTGTAACTTACAGTAAACTTGTGCAAAATTATTCTATTTAGCAAGGAAATTAGCTGGTGCTTAGATGGATCCAGTTCTTGCTCAGGCCAGACACTTTCTATCAGTGTTACATCCTGAGGAAGATTTCACTCAGTCTGCTGGTGCATTTGATCATCAATATCAGTATTATCATGGCGTGTCCACATAACATAGTTGAATCTTAACAACACCAGTGTTTACACACTGTATGTACACACAGTGTACACACTGTATAGCACAGTACGGTAATGCATATAACCTGAAAAATAAAAGTCAAATGATACTGGCACATTATTAGAGTCTCAGTCACTAAAAATCGATCGACTTCATCATCATATCATCTGACCAAAATGTCTTCCAGAGTAATGCCACCCAGTTTGCAGACTTCCATTCAACCTCATCAGATTCCAAAAGCAGGAGTGATCTTAGTAACATATGGCTTAACCCCTTGGGGCATCTGAAGTGAGTCAAAAGAAAATATCATTTCCTGCTCTGAGCTGCTATTAGGCACCATTGTAATACAGATTCCTCTGGTTGCATAGCTCATTTGCTCATTCACTTACCCTCAGCTACTATTTCTCTTTCTCTCCATTTATCATTTATTTTCCACCTTTGGAAGGGATGTTAGGTTTGGCTACTGTGCTGGTCCAGACTGCTGGCAGAAATACCAACCTAGCAAGTACCTCCAGCTCAGTCCACTCCCATAAATAGCATGGGGTTACATACACACAACTAGTGGGCTGTCCTGACCACTAGGCAACAGAGCTGCACTCACTGTAAATGCCAATTTTTCCAGATGGGGTGAAGTCACAATCCACCCCATCAGGCCACTAGGGATTCTGACATAAAGGTTTAAAGTTATAGTTACATGTGGCCGGCCCAGTGGCACAGCAGTTAAGTTCACACGCTCTGCTTCTCGGTGGCCCAGGGTTCACCAGTTCAGATCCTGGGTGCAGACAGGGCACCGCTTGGCAATCCATGCTGTGGTAGGCATCCCACGTATAAAGTAGAGGAAGATGGGCACAGATGTTAGCTCAGGGCCAGTCTTCCTTAGCAAAAAAGAGGAGGATTGGCGGTAGTTAGCTCATGGCTAATCTTCCTCAAAAAAAAAAAAAAAAAACATTAAATAAATAAATAAATAAAGTTATAGCTACAGTTTCTTGCTTAGGGAATATCCCTGCTTCTGGCACCCATAGTCACAGGCCTGGTCCTAGCACCACTGAATCAGCGAGGAAAAAAAAGTTAAGACAATGTAAAGAAAAAAGAAAGTTGTAATAATGTGAAGAATTTTATAGGGGCCGGCCCCGTGGCCAAGTGATTAAGTTCGTGCGCTCTGCTTCAGCGGCCCGGGGTTTCATGGGTTCGGATCCTGGGTGCACACATGGCACCACTCGTCAGGCCGTGTTGAGGCAGTGTCCCACATAGCACAACCAGAAGGACCTATAACTGGAATATACGACTGTGTACCGGGGGCTTTGGAGAGAAGAAGAAGAAAAAAAAAGATTGGCAACAGATGTTAGCTCAGGTGTCAACCTTTGATAAAAAAAAAGAATTTTATAGTTGTATGAGCATTCTCCCCCACCCCCTCTTCCTGGATGGGGCCCCAAGACATGGTCCCCGATAATGAGAGGCCCAATAGAGAGTGAGTCAGAATGACCAATCCCTTCTCTTTCTCTCACTTTGCTGAGTACATAGCTGGTAAAAGGAAATACATACTATTTGCCACGTGTGTGTATTTCTTACTGATCAGATGCTCGTCTTACCTGTTGAATCTTTATACAGTTATCCCACGGAAGCTGGCAAGGCCCACCTTCCATGGGAAAGAGTAGCATCCACAGGGGAGATCGTTCACCAGGACAAGAGAGAAAATGGGGCGTGAGTTGGGAAGAGGATGGCTCAGCCTCCCTTGTTCTGGATATCAAGGGGTCTAGAGAGAGTTCCTGGGAGGTGAGGCTTAAGGATAGTGTGGTAGAGAGACTAGCAGCTCACAAAGAAGCCCACATCCTGATGTCTTTACATTTGTTACCTCACATAGTAAAAGGGAATTTTCAGACTAAAGGAATTTGTGATTAAGTTATGAACCTTGAGATGGGGAGATTATCTTGGATTAGATCAGTGAGCCCAATGTAATCAGAAGGGTCTTTCTAAGGAAAATAGGGAGACAGGAGAGTCAGAGTCCAAGAAAGATATGCGACAACGGAAGCAGAGTTCAGAGATAGAGAGAGATTAAGACGCTAGGCTGCTGTCTTTGAAGATGGAGGAGCCATGAGCCAAAGAATGCAGGTGGTCCCTAGAAGCTGGAAAAGGCAAGGAAACAGATTCTCTTACGGCCTCTGAAAGCAGCACAGCCCTACTGACACCTTGATTTTAAGACATCTAACCCCAGAACTGAAAGAAAATAAATTCGTGTTATTTTAAGCCACCAAGTTTGTGGTAATTTATTACAGCAGCAAAGGGAAACAGCACCAGCTGTGGAAAGCTAGAGAGTGAGGACCCCAGGCAGGACTGTGTCTTCTGTGGTCTGATGGGATCTGTAAGCAGGGGAAACAAGGCTGATTTTAAGGATGCTTCATGTGGAATCCGTAATCCACAGATAAGATCTGAGAAATCCTCATACTCCATGAAATTGTAAAATTTTCTATGTGGGCAATTTTTACAAAAGAGATGGTCCAGGAATCTGTGGCCCCTGAATGTCTAAGAAGTACCATCTTAAGAGAAGAGAAAATCCGAGCTGAGAAAGAACTCTACAGTCAACAGAGAGAAGTGATGTCAGGAGTCAGATGGAAGAGGACATTGAATGCGACACCCCGGGAACAAGGTGGAGGGGAGATACTGGTGGCTAGGTAGGCTTCAGGCTGAGTTTGGTGGCGGAGTAGCCTGTTCCTCATGAGAGGTTGACGATATGACCCTGGTTTAACAGAGCTTCATAAAGAAAAGAACAGAAACACAGCTTCAGCCATCCTGGAAAAGAGGAATTGAATACACCCCTCTATATGCAAAATAACAGATACCCCAGCATTTCCAGAAAAAATAAGGAAGCAGCCACAGTCTTTGGTTCTCTTTCACTCTTATCCTGAGGCAAGGTTCTGATAGGGATCCAGGGAGGCAGGACATTTGTGCCAAGATATCATCCCAAGGAACCCCTGCCAGCCATGGTCTCCCCAGGCCTCTGTTTCCCCCATCAGGACTATGCCTTAGGGGACACGGGAAGCTCAGAGCTAGTGGAGGGCAAGTTACTGTGGTGGGAGATGGGGGCTCCCCAAAGTTCCTGAGGGCAAGGGGGAGAAGGTCTTCTTGTTTGCCCACTAGCTGCTAAATTACCACTTCATGATCTAAGTGTAACTAAATCAAAACCACATGTTCCATTTTAATCCAAATGAATAGTATTCCAAACTAAAGGAAATCATGCCTAAGGATAGAGTGATCCAAAATGGGGCATTTAAAAAATCTCCAGCAACACCTGGTGGCTCCCAGAATGCAGTGGGAGGGGGGCAATGAAGCGAAGGCCCCTCACCAGGTGTCTTTGACTAGCTGACACCCAGGCAATTGTAGAAAGGGGGATCCATAAGAAAGGTCACCAAGGGAGGTGACCACAATAGGAATTCTCTAGTTTAGAGACCTCAGGACCCCCAGAGTGTGCGTGTGCTGTGGGGAGAGTGGAGAGTGCCACTGGCATTATTCAACCGAGGCCACAGGAGCAACTGTCAGTGCGGAACCCTGACCCATGGTTGAGTCAAACACACTCACAAAATGTTGCTTAGTATGACTCTAAAATAAAAACTGGAGTGTGTGTGAACGTGTTTGTGTGTGTTTGTTTGTTGTGTGTGTGTGTGTGTGTATGTGATGAGGGGAGAAATGAAGTCTGTGAGAGGAGAGGGCCCATCTCAGCTGGAGGACAGAAAACGTGTTTTCCCCATCACATAATAGTTTTTCCATAAAGTCACAAAAACGTTAGCTTGGAAATGTGGTCCAATTGACTCACCTAATAGGCTAGTGAGGACTTCAAAGTGCAAAGAGCTGAAGGGCTCTCCTAGTTTCCAGGGGAGTTGACTGAAACTGCTCTAAATGTGGAAACCCAAGGAAGGTGTTAATGGCTCAGGATTTGCTTTCTCACCCCAGGGCCTTTGCACTGGCTGTTCCCTCTGCCTTGACTGTTCTTCTCCAGATATCCTATGGCTTATTCTCTCATTTCATTAAAGTCTCTGTTCAAATGCTGACTTATTAGGAAGGCCCTCCCTGGCCACCCCACCTGACACATACACACCCACATGCCACATGCACTCACACTCAAGGGCAGTAAACAATGCCTTGCAGACAGTAGACACTTAATGTGTACCTATTGAAAGTTGTTGGATGACCAGGTAATGATGCCTCATTGTGGCACTCTTCCTGTATAACAATAGAGAATTCCAGCATCTTAATTTGATATCCCTATGCAACAAAATCTGCAAGACGTAAGAGACGAGAAGACACGGGCCTGTACTCAAGGAGCTCATTATCTAGTTGGTGACGCAAGGATCGCATACATGAAACTAATTAATATAGCACAGCCTCACCACTCAACAATGAAGATTCTGTAGGGGAGATGGAAGACAACGCAATTATGGGAGAGTTGGTACAGATGGAAAGTTCTGTGGCAAGTTCAGAAGGAGGAGAGACCAATGTGGGCCAGGAAAGTCTTCCCCATGTGAGCTAAGCCCTAACAGAAAAAACACACGATAGTCACATGGGTGACTGTCACACAGGTGACTAAGCCAGGATAAGAGGTGGGCCAGACAGCCACCTGCTCAGGGTACCCATTTATATAGAACTCCAAACCATCACAGAAATAAGTTGAAACTATGGTGCCAGCTAATGTGCAATTCCTTACATAAATGGCAAAACTTTCATCAGTCTCCACTCATTTTCTATGACTAATAAAGCTTTGTGTTTTCATTTGAACATGTAATAGGAAAAAAGTTATTTATGGCCTCTCGCCACTTTCTAAGATACTTGGAAGAAATTCTGTTTTCTCAGTCGGGTACTCAGTCAGTTAATAAGTAGTTACTAAGTGCCTTTTCTGCGCTGGACTTTTTCCTAAGTTCTGAAGGTCCAGCTGTGAACAAGAGGGCTGGAGCCTGGCCTTTCAGGCTCTGCTCCCAGTGACTGTGGGCCACAGGGAGCAAGGATCCCACTGCCGGCTTTCATGCGTGCTCTGCGGGCGCGCTTCCCAGGGATCCACTCTTCGCCTTGAGGGACTCAAGATTTTTGCATTTTGCTGTATGCATATCATACCCTATCTTAAACGCTTACTTGAAAAATAGAATATAGAAAAAAACTAACGATCCCCAAAGAGGGCTAGGGTGCCTGCATCTCAGGGGGCTCTCAAAGTGCTAACAGTCTATGAAAAATGATACTTGCTAGATGTGAGCGTTAGGGGAGGCTGGGTGAAGGGTATATTGGGACTCTGCGCCATGTTTGCAACTTTGCTATAAATCTAAAATTGTCCCCGCCACCTCCCTACCCCCCAAAAAAGTTTATTTTAGGAAAACATATTTGCTAAACAACTTACAAGGCTCAATGCAATTGCAAGTGAATCCCTTAACATATTTAGAAGGCATTCTTTTCAAGCCCCTTATAAGCATTCATCCATTTATTAACATTTAAATAACTATTGTTCTACTTATAAACATTCCATACAAATAAAGCCATACCATTTGAATGTGGGGAGGAAATGTTAGAACTATTCTTATTCATTTTT